CAATACATTCCATTCTGAAGCAGTGCTGGAGCTTCTCGAAGTCGTTCAAAGCTTTGCATACGCATTTGTTTGGACCCATAACCTTCGTTGGGAGGTCGTCTACGAACTAGGTAACTAGGTATCAGTTCATATATGAGTTATTAGCTAACCTCTTATAATTAGAGTCTTCTGTATGTATATATATATATATTGTACACATGTCAATGTGTCTGTACGTGCATGTTAGTAGGTATAGCTATGGTTTAAACAACTAAGTTCTAGGGCTTTATAGGTTTAGGGTTGTTAGGGTTTAAGGGGTATGTGTATATGTGTACGCATGCATGTGTGCTAATTAGGATGTCCCCTAGTGGTGATGGCCATGGTGTGTATATGTATCTGCATAAACAAGTGTAATGTGGTTTCGAAATGGTTGCTTACATTTCTAGGGTTCCATAATGCCAGCCATCAGGGACGCCGACTTGACTGCCGCGCTCGTGTCCTCGATGGAGAAGCACCAGCTGGTGATCACTCGGCACCTGGAAAAGTTGCAGGACTTCGTATGTTGTTCAATGTTGTGCTCCGGGGGAGCCTGTTTGTTCTTATAGTGTGCAATCTGATGCTGCAGTGTCCTCGTGGCTAGGATATGATGGCAAAGGGAACGGAGGGCATGGGGCTGGAGGAGTATGTCTTCAACCTGACCGAAAGCAACTCAAATTTCAAGTCGGGGTCCAGGCATGTGCGGATGCATTGCAACAAGAAGGAACCAAAGGCAAAGGCGAAGAACAAAGCAAAGGCTAAGTCTGCTGCCTGATGAGGCAAACTTTTCGTTGCATACTCTCATGAAGTATGGTAGGGATGTTGAAAGCTGAGCATAGGCCCTTGGACTGGTTATAGATCCTGTTATAGTTCTGTATATGTGGCGATACGAAGCTTAAACTAGCTACGACTGTTATGCTGTCTGGGGCAGCCTGGCTTCAACATGCACACGTGCGAACACGTGTCCTTTTATAAGTCTTGCATCCGTGGAGTTTGCGATGCTACCAGCCAGATCCGAAAGACTTTTGTCCGACTGCAAGTGATTCGAAGTCTGCTATGCATAGCCAATATAGATTAGTATCAACTCGTGTGCCACCCCTCGCAGATGATGACACCGCCTTTGCGGACCACTTGCTGCAGACCCTGGGTATGGGAGCTTCTTGGCTAATCTATACCGAGAAGCAACAATACCCTTGCAGTGGTTTACCCCGTTATGGATCTTAGCTGGGTTTCCGTACTTTGAACTTTAAACCACATTAACTGTCACCAGTATGGATGTTTGGGGTATTGGCTCTGGGGTAATTGTGTTTTATGCTATGTGAAGCTACTGCACTCCCGAAAAGCCCTGGCCATGCCTCTATGTTGGTCGAAGCAGCTGCCGTCACGATGATACCTTGTATACGTAAGCTTGTCGTTCAGCTTTGGAATTTTGGGTTCATCATTACAAGGTTGGTGAGGATCACATGGGTTCCAAAGAAGCTTAGTCACTATCCCGGCCACTCCTGTCGCGAACCCTTGCATCCGATTACTTTTGAAGTCTTGAAGAATAAATCAAATAATAGTATTCTATTAAATATCCGAGGCCAATTCAGCAGCTGACCTACAGCAAGCTGCGGAAGCTATGATCCGGGAAAGCAGGGGACATGCCTCTGGATTAACGAAACGCATTGCTGCAGCGGGCCACCACGGCAAATGGCGCAACAATGTGTCACGAGATATTTCTCGTGCCTTGAAGTTCCCACTCGTATCTTAACCGCATCTTATCGATAGTTGAACCCAAAACCTAAATAAACCTAGCTAAACTTAAAAGCTAAACCCAAAGCCCCTAAACTGAAACCCGAAACCCAAAGCCCCTAAACTTAAACCCTATAACCCAAATTGCCCCTAAACTGAAACCCCAAACCCAAAGCCCCTGAACTTAAACCCTCATAAACCCAAAACCCCTGAACTGAAACCCTAGACGCTATAGCCCCTGAACTTAAAACCAAAATCCTGTAAACCCCTAAACTTATTAAGCCCTAGCTATAATAACCCAAAAGGCCCTAAACTTAAACCCTAAACCCTATAAGCCCCTAAACTTAAACCCTATAGGGCGAGCAATCATGAGCAGCCTACCTGATTATGGCATACGATGTCGTGTCATGAACATGCGAAGCCTGATCAGGACTTGCACTACATGTCGATCCCCGTCAAAGACTGGCGAGACCGCAAGACGATCACCACCTTCAACTGTCCATTTCTGATGCCACATGAAATCTATCAGTACTGGGCTGACACTTCGAGGAATCATTATTTTTTTTGTCATCGTGATCCTGACGTCTATTTTCTATGCTTGCAATGCCAGCAGGGATATATATGTTGTCTAACTTTGCAATTGTACGAACATAAGGCTCATGGACTTCTAGAAGTGCCAGTTGAAGAGCGGAGACAGTATTGGCAGCACTACAAGGGCCTTGGTTTAGTGTCAAACGACATCAATGATGACTGTGTGCCTCTTGGATTGTACGGCGACGAAGGCCGCTACAGTCGTACTGGAGAGAAGATAATACTGATCACCATGAACTCATTGCTGACCGTTCCCCGTTGCAACTTGCAATGTTATTGGCAACCGCTATAACCCTAATTAAATGCACCTAGCACTCCTTATTTTACATTTTTTACAAGCCCCTAAACCCTAAGCCCCCAAACCCCGACTATTATAACCCGAAACCCTGTAATCCTAAGCCGGTACCGCAACCCTAAACCCTCAAATTAATTACTCCTAAACCCCAATAAATAATAAGACCCAAGCCCCTCTAGAAGATCAGCCAAGGCGGCCAGATGAAGCGCTTTGCAGTCTTCACCCTGCGGGAGCACATCTCGCTGGGCCCAGCGACCCTCCACCCTCTCTTTAGAACATTGGCATGGTCACTGAATGCCCCCTCGCCGAAAGCTTCTTAAAATGTAGTCAGTATGATGCATGTGTGCTACCATATTGAACCAAATTTGTGATACATCAGCCACCCCAGGTACTGGCTCATGGCATCAACCCGACCCACAACGTGGATGGTGTTGTCATCCCCGGGCGTCCGGCCTGCAAGCCCGGCTCTGCGATTCGAGGTCCGTCAGCAGCAGCCGCATTGGTGTAAGGGGTAGGTAGGTAGGTAGGTAGGTAGGTAGGTAGGTAGGTAGGTAGGTAGCTAGGTAGGTAGGTAGGTATAGGGTTAGGGTTTAGGGTTTAGGGTTTAGGGTTTAGGGTTTTAGGGTTTAGGGTTTTGCTTTAGGGTTTAGGGTTTAGGGTTTAGCGGGTTTAGGGTTTAGGGTTTAGGGTTTAGGGTTTAGGGTTTAGTGTGTATATACTCAAGATTTGGTCCTCGTAAGCATCTAGACATCTCCGATCGTTTTGAGCCTCGCAAATGTCGGTGCCAGTGTGTTGCATAGTGGCCCGACGTACCTAAGACCTACCTACCTACCTACCTACCTACCTACCTACCTACCTACCTACCTACCTACCTACGCCTACCTACCAGCAGGACCCAAAGCTTTGGTCATGGAGTTCAGGGGCGACTGGAAATGGATCAAAGATCTATTCCAGTTAAAAGCTTACTGGCATTGGAAGCTGCACGAAATGTGCCACGTCTGTTTCGCTACAAACTCCGGCCCTATGGCGCACCTCCGATTAAGTCATTATGGACACAGCATGCGAAAGCTTTCACGGTTAGTGTACGACAGAGTGATGGCAGTTTATTCTAATAGAGAAGGGAAATCGAAACAAAGTTAGAGCAAAATTTAAAATATCTATGTAACAAGCAAACCTGCAAACCAAACTGCGATTTGGAATCCTTAGGTGGGCATCAGATCTGACCAGAAGGTTTCCCCGAAGGTCGTCGGCTAACATTGTGGCAGCAGTTATGCCCGACACGGACATCAATCCACTCTGCTGTGTGCAGGGCTTCAACCCTGCCCTTCAGTTCAAATGGTGTACAATGCATGTGCTGAATCTCGGCGCACTACAAGTGGCCAACGGCAGTGCTCTCATGTTGCTGTTGTCGCACAGCGGCTTTGCAATCGATTCGAAATCATTTGTTGTTGCTTTTACTATTTATTCGACTTGATGAATTATCGTCACCGGTCATGTCAAACCACCTTCAGGCTACTGGGGACCGGCGATGGATCAGGCAAGTGGTCTCCTGGCTGCGTCTGGCGGCTTCCGAGCTTGGGCAACGGCCCAGCATGTCGAGCTGCTTGGCAGTTCTTTTTTTATATATGTTATTACAATGTAACCGTTGCAGATTCGTGTATAAGAATGCAGTCGGTGAGCTGTTCAGGCACTCTGTGCCTTTTCTGACAAGTGGCATGCTCTTTGGCGATGGCGGCCCGTTTCCTTGCTTAACTCTGAAGGCACATGCTGGCAAGATCTTCCTTCTTTACATCGGCGGCTGTATGCGAGACCTCATGAGGCGAGTGGCGGATCCGGAGGTGAAGCTGGCTAGCATGATGCTGGACTCGCTGTTGCGCTGGTTTCATCTGGTGGAGACAGCGCCGAGAAGGTTCCTCAGCGATATTCAAGCGCGAGCTATTGCTGAGGCAGGCTACAGCTTCCTGCGTTTCTATGCTGCTCTGGCGAAGCAGGGGCGGCGAGCCTGTCCATCCTGCGCTGGAAGCTGCTGCCGAAGCACCATGCTTTCGCCCATGTCCTGGAGGATTCTCTGCTGCGCAGAGAGAATCCGAGAGCCTTTCATTGCTTTCAGGATGAGGACATGATTGGCCAGTGGAAGAAGCTGTGCTCCGGGACGCAAGGCGCCCTCATGGAGTACCGGCTCATGGCGCGGTGGCTGGTGCGACTGGGAGCCAGCGCCAAGTGAAAATGAAGGATGAGCGATCCGCAAGTTCTTGCGAAGCCCCCAAAGCCTTGCAGCCGCACCTTGGAAACAGCCTCCAAAGCCTTGCATCCGCCCGAGACCCCAAAGCCAAACCCTGGAAACAGCCTCCAAAGCCTTGCGTCCGCCCGAGAAGGCACCCTGTGCATGAGAAAGCAGCCTGGAAACAACATCCGAGCCTAGACGGTTAACTTCTGCAGCCTCCAAAGCATTGCATTTGCCCGAGAAAGCATCCTGGAAACAACATCCGAGTCCCCAATCAGACTTGAATTGTCCAGGTTGAGGTTTGGAAATTACTTCAACCCCTTCGGTGTTGAATTTTGGTTATCATGCTCTGACCCCACTGGAATCTAGAACATACGCCCTCCGGGTCTGTCTTCAGATTTTGGCCACGCTGCCTTGTTTTCAGGGTATGACCACAGTTTCGGCTTTCACCCGCAAATGACCACACCATTTGCTGACATTGGATCCCTTGGGT